AATACATCTGTGGCAGGAAATGTTTACTGTGGCAATTAGTCATGCAGTTAGAAGTTTTCTAATTGTAAATTAATTGAAAAATCTTATTACCATTCAACACATCAATCATTCTGTTCTTATGGATGTTGTTTTGAAAAGAAATATCACAAAACTGTATTGTAAGATGGCATGACTCACTGCTCTGCTGTGTAATTGAAAAGGAAAAGCTATTGAAAGGAAAGCAGGAAGACAAAACATTTGCTGCTGTTCTGCTTCTTGTGAAGATGCTTCCCGTCCTCTGTGGGGAGGGATTTCTGCTTCTTGTGGTTTTGGGGGTTGGAGATACCCAACCACCCTCACTCATTGTGGGTCTAACAAACTAGGATATTGGCTTTTTTCACTGCAGTTGCTTTGGCATACTATCTCATTTCCCTGCACATTAGTGGGAGTTTCTAGCAAAAGAAATAACACGGATGATCAAACTGGATAGCTACGTCTGGACGGGCATGATTTTCCGCAAATGCTTTTAATGGAAAAATTTTCCGTTAAAAGCATTTGCGGAAAAGAGTGTCTAGACTGGCACGGACGCTTTTGCGCAAAAGCACTTTTTGCGAAAAAGCGGCTGTGCCTATCGAGACACACTTTTGCGCATAAAAGCCCCGATCGCCATTTTCGCGATCGGGGCTTTTTTGCGCAAAACAAATCTGAGCTGTCTACACTGGCCCTTTTCTGCAAATTGGATATACTGTCTACGCTGGCCGCTTGAATTTCCGCAAGAACATTGACAATACCATGTAAGAAATCAGTGCTTCTTGCGGAAATACTATGCTGCTCCCGTTCGGGCAAAAATTCAGTTTCCAATTGTCCAGCTGCCCCAGCACTTCCGGGTTCCTGATGGTGCCGGACCATCAGGAGTGCCAGAGCATTGGATGCCGTGGTTTGGGGGTGAGGATTTGTCTCTTACTTGTGATAGTAGGCAAAGTAGTTTTCACACAGATGTGGAATTGGAAAAAAAATCAGTCCTGTCTCTCTCATGTACCTTCTGGTTAGTGACTGAAGGACTGAGTTGTAGCATGAGTGGTTGTTTTGGGTAAATTGTTAAGCAGAGGAGTATGGGCTATGGGGCTACAATTCATGGTTGGGAATTGAGACCTGGGTAATACTCTGTGTCTGTTACGTAATCTCTGGTCACTCTTCTGCAAAGCAGAGGGAATATCTACTTCCCAAGAGTTGGGCTTAGTTCAAAGCCCCTTAAGGATACGTCTACACTGCAGCCCAAGCTTGGGACCCTCCTGGCTCGCAGAATCCTAGAACTCGGGCCGCAGCTGAAAGCCGAACATCTACAATACACCACAGCTAAACAGCTCCTTCGCCGGAGTCAATTGTGGGTGTTTTAACTGCAGTGTAGACATACCTTAAAATCCCCCACTGGGATATGTAGGCATTTTAGAACTGTAGACTGAAGTGGTATTTTGTCGCAATATCTTTTTTTATATTATGGAATCCAGTTGCTCTTATACAAAGCAGATTAGGGACGTTGGCTGATGTATCATTGAACAGTCAGTGTAACTGCATAAAATTGAAGCGGTCACACAACTATTGACAGTCGAGGGCAGAGCCAGCAGCCAGTGCGCTCCTGTCCCACTCTGAGGGAGCTCACTGCCACCTTGCGCTACTGCCTTTATCGGTGTAGCAGCACAGGGTGCCAGGCGGGAGCTGGTCCATCAGGGAGCCCGTTCAAAAACCACATCCCCATGCAGACCGGCTTCCTGCTGCACCGCACTGCTACTGCTGTACAGAGGCAACAGGGAGGCGTGGCAGCAACCCCTGTCCGTGGGGTGTCCGAGCTCCCACCTGCAGAGCAACCTCTGTCCTCAGGGAGCTCAGCCCCCCTGTGCACAGGGACTGCTACCGCCTCACGCCTCAGTGCACCAGTTCCCTCCTGCGGCCTCCCCCCACTCTCCCCCCGCCCCCCTGCAGAACTAGTACTGGGAGGAACCGACTTTTAATCCAGCTCCTGCCTCCCGTCCCCTCCCCTGCCTGCCTCTTGAAAGCCTGCTCCCCATGAGTATTGGCTCCAGTCTGCACTCAAGGCAGGGGGCAGGTAGATCTGGTGCTCATGGAGAGCCTGCTTAAAGCCAGCTTCTCGTGGGCACTGACTCTCGCTCCCACCCCTCACCGCCTACTGCCTCTGATACAGTAGCAATATGCAGAGACAGCGTGGGGGGAGGGGTAGTCAATAGGATTAACCAATAAGCCTGGGCTTATCAGCTAATCGTTTACTCCACTATACGATAACATCCCTAAAGTAGATTGAAAGTGTATGTGATGGGGGGGGTGTGTGCAAATTTAGGGTCTGATTCTGGTCACGCTGACTTCAGTAGTTGCTAGATCTAATTTGCTGTGAATATGCAAAGTCCTGGGCCTGAATTTTAGAAGCAGTCAAGCAGAGTTGCGAATATCCTGAAAAATTGTTTCCTTAAATCTAGGAGGAGGAGAAATCTCTTTCACAAGCAACTTTGATGTCATTTGCTTTGTGGGATTATCTGCGTGAGTGTATTTTCAGGACCTTTTCTCTCTTGCGGTGCTTCAGTTTCTCCTAGTTTTTCTGTCCATGGATTTTTTTTTTTTCCTCTCCTAATACTTCTATTGAAGACTGAGCTCTGTTGCTGGTGAAACCCCAAACCTTAGCAGCCTCTGTTGAACATTCAATGACTTTTCTTTATTTAAAAAAACAAACAAACGTGCAGGATATTTTAGCTCGGCAGACTTCTCACTGTGCTCCCAGCAGCACAAATGTTTGATTGTTCTTGAAACTCTCCTGGGGCTCTAACTCCCTTTCAGTTTACTAGGCAGTCACTGGCATGAATCCCTGGAAGCTGGCATGTGCTGGATATCTGTTGTCACTGAACCTCTAGTCCAGATGATCAGGGCTATTCCGGAGCTTCAGGCACCAAGTTGATTGTGTATTGTAGTGCACAGTTTCCTTTTCGTAAAACTCATGATTTTGCTTTTGTAAATGGAGCACATATACAAGACCTCATTTACTAATCTAAGTGAGGTTTATTTGGACAGCGCATGCTGCAGAGCAAAACAGAAGCCATGATCTATGATTCTGACCTTCAGAAAGCATCCTAGGATATTGCCATCAGGAGTTAAGTTTCTTGGTGTACGAGCCTTATTGTTGGAGCTTTTAATGCTGCCATGTCAACAGTGACCACAGGCACTGGATAAAGTTGCTCATAAAGAGCAAAAAAATTCAAATGCCCTCTTGCTGCAGGTTAACCCCACCATGGCTTTGAACTTTTAGGCTACATCTTATTGAAATAATGTGGTGGATTATACTGAATTTCTTAAAGTTAAAAATAAGGTTGTCAAAGGGTGCGTATACCGCCCTGTTGGAGGGAGGTGATGGGCCTACAACTTCTGTCAGACTGTTAATTGTCATGAGTTGGAATTTCTGTGTTCTTGTCATGTGGCATTATGCAAGTAGTTCGTGTGTTCTAGAACTAAGTATGCTGTATCTTTTTAGGAAGAGGGTTTGGCCTGAAACGGCCTTGTCTCATTTACTTCAGTCTAATTGGGAACAACTTTTAGGCGGGGAAGAGCTAATTTAAGGTGTTTGATCTATAAGCATTTCTGCAACAACCCCATTTTGCCCTACACATACAGCACTTCCCTGTGTGGCCAATCTCTGCTTTGCCACCAGCAGTGTTTATAGTAACGCAGGAGAGTGAAAATACAGTTTATGATCGTTATATATGTTGTGTAGAGTGGCTCGCTGGCCTCCCTTTGCATGACACCTGCTGTGTGTGGGGCCCAGCTGTAAAACCTGCAAGGAAATCTTTGTTTTTCTTCTTTAGTGAAGCTGATGTATGACTTTTTTCCGCAAAACTCAGACAGCCCCCGGAAAACACTGTGCTTAAAACGTCATAGGTCTTCCCGCTGCTTTATCCTCTGCCATGGCCCATTTGATTCCTCTTTGATCTGCTAAGCTTCTCTATGGGGTGGAGGAAGATAACGAAAGCGTGGTGCTTTTGGAAACCCTAATCTTGAGCCACAGTGTTTGTCTTGCAGGGGGAGAGGGGAGCTCAAAGGTGCACCAAGAGATGGCGGTATGGGGACATGCTGTAGGGATAGGATGGCTCTCTAGCAATATCCTGGACAAGCTCTCCACAGAAGGCTATTGGAAGACAAGATGGTTTTCAGGGATGTTTATAGTAATCAAATCAATTAGTAGACATGTAAATAATCAGCATGTTGTTCCTAAAATGAACTGAGATGGGAGCATTACTGCTTTCTGTGTATTGTCCTGGATTTAAAAAAAAAAAAGTAAGTAGAAAGTAGTGATGGCAAATGTTAGCTAACTATGTCTTCCTTTGCCTGGAGGCTGCATTTGAGGATAATACACTGGGCTGAGTTGCAAGAGATGTGACTTCATTTCCTGGCTCTGTCACAGACTCACTCGATTTCTCTGTGCCTTATTTCACCCATGCGCACGATGGAGATAATGCTCCCTTTCACCGTTCGTCCATCTCGTCTATTTAGATTGGCAGCTTTTCAGTTTGGGGGCTGTCTCGTGTGTGCACCGTGTCTGGCACAATTTGGCCCCCAACCTTGGATAGGGCCCCCTGGGTCAACCATAGTATAAATGATTAATAAGGTGGCAGTATATCCAGCTGGTACATACTGTGCTGTATGGAAGTGAGGTCGCTACCTGTTAACATATTGATGAATCCAGTTCCAGCAGGGCTCTGGGCAAATGGAGTTTTAAAATCAAAACAAAGGCTCACTTTTCCTTGGACATAGAAATACATTTCTCTACCTCCAGAAATATCACCCGTACCAGGGCTGACTGACAAGATTGTATCCTAGGACCTTGTCGCATATTGCTAATTATAATGCTGAACGTGTGTATACTAATAGCTTTAAGGATAAGTTAAATGCAATAGCATGCGCTCTGAAAGCTTTGTAAAGTGAAAAGGCTGGATAAAGAGAGAGCTGTGTTGAAAACGTAATGCTTTCTTTCTCTCTTCTGCTCTCTCAGCTTTCTGCTTTTTGCCCCGGTGGGGGAATGGAGACTCTAGGCAGTATGGCGGTATCGATTAGGCATTGAGCAGTGTTGCCACTGCAGAGCACCCATGGGAATGTATTTTAAAGGTACAGAAACCACAGGGCAGCAGAAGTGTTCACAATTTGCTGTCTGGGATGTCCTCAATGCTATAAATCCTGGGAAACAGGAGAGAGAGCAAACAATTTTAGCTTTATACTCTGCTGAAATGATTGTGAATAGATTCCTAACTGATTATATCTTCTTTCAGGCTCAGAGAAATCATGAAGAAAGCTTGTATCCCACAGGAGGAAACAGATTCCTCACTGTCAGTCATCCTGGCTATAGTGGAGTCAGATTCCACAGTAGTGTATTATAAACTGACCGACGGTTTCATAATGCCAGATCCTCCTGATGATACTGAAGACAAGGATAATAAACAGTGGAAAAAGAAAAGAAGGAAGCTTTTGAGGTGACTTTAAGACAAATATGAATGGTTTCTTGGCCTCTTATTTTCACATCTAAACAAAGCTAAAAAGTGGCATTTGTGTATGTAAATTAGAAGGTATAATGACTTATCTGCCGCATCACAAATCTTCAGTTACTCTGGAGAACTCAGACTTCTGCAGTATATTTGAAAATAAAATATGTAACTTGTTTCAAGGCACATTACTTCTTCCTCCTAATACATCTTGGGTGTTGGTTGGTTGGTTTTAGGTTGGTTGGTTTTTGAGAAGCAGCAGTTTTCAAAGCTTTTTTCCCCTCTTTCATACACACCCACCCCTACATTTGTGGCAACACCTCGTGTAAGTTTTAAAGGTGAATATTTAAATAAAATAGGGCTGTTCTTTAGTGTAGTGTGGTTAGAGTGAAAATCTCAAACATACATTCTGTGTCGGTTAAAAAGACAGTGGTCACCCCTAATCATGGCACAGCACCAAGAGCATTTAAAATACAAATTGCACCCACTACTTGATTTTTGGTATAGTTAGAACAAAATAGAGTAGGCTTTATCCAGGAATATTTTCTTTGGATTTAAACATACTGCAACTAAAAAAATTACCACCATAATGACTCAGAGGGATAGCCGTGTTAGTCTGTAACTTCAAAAATAACGAGCAGTCCTGTGGCACCTTAGGAAATTATTTCAAAATAATAATATTCATAAATAACTCCCAAAATAACGATTTCAAAATAAGCTTATTCCCCAAGGAAATCAGGAGAAGTTATTTTGAAACAACCAGCCCCTTATTTTGAAATAGTGGGCTTGGTAGTGTAGACGCTCCGCTTGTTGTTCGAAATAACTCCCTAGTGTAGACCAGGACTTAGAGCAGGGCTGGGCAATAATTTTTGACTGGGGTGACTCCAGAAATTTTTGAAGTGGAAGGGGCAGGGCTTCAGGCCGAAGGGGCAGAACCAGGACACTTACATGCTTCCTCACCCACCGACCCTGTTTGGTCTGGGGGTGGGGGAGTGCGTGAAGTCTTTGCCCCTGCCCCCTTCTGAGAACTGCCAACTGTTCTTACAATTAGCAGTTCCTCCTAGGTGCCCGTGCCCCTGGCAGTGGGAGGAGATTTTGCACACTCCCCTGGGGGGTGGAGGGAGCACACAAAATCTGCCCTTGCCCTGCAAGAGAGCGACCCGCCAGTTGAGCAGCAGCTGGTGGTTGACTCTAAGAGCTGAGCCCCTTACAGGGTGGGAGGAGACTTCACGTGCTTCCCTCTGTCCCAAAGGCCCTGATTGGGAAGCCTCTTGCTCCCTGTTGTCTGGCACACGGTGCCTAGAGTCAACAGCCAGGTTTGACTAAAGCACCACACGCTCCCCCATCTCTAGGCCCTGATTGTCCTGTAGACAGGGGAGCAGCAGAACCTCTGCGGACCAGATCAACTTGCCGCATATAGCCCATGTAGGTCCTATTGCCCATCCCTGGCTTAGACTAACAAATATGTTATTTATATCATGAGCTTTCACAGATAAAACTCACTTGATCAGATAAGTCAGGCTACTAGAAAGAGGCATCACCTAATGATTAAAGCCCAAGACCAGTGTAGTGACTTCTGCAATCTAATCCTAGTGGCCAGTCATGAAGATCCAAACTACATAAGCTACTGACATTTACATGTGCTTACTATACCACAACAGTAAACAGTTACCCCTGTGAATGAAAACAGGAGCGGAAGGAGGTTAAAGATCAAGGGATCGGTATGCGGTTTTAAATGTCTGGACCTATTTACATAGTCAAGAACAAACCATTTGATGAGAAATTCAGTCTTCTCGTGTTACAGCATGATCTCTCCATGGTTAACGTTTTGGTGTGGAAGGCTCCTTAGCCTCTCACGGTACGTCTACACTTGCACCCTAGTTCAAACAAGGGATGCAAATGTAGGCGACTGAAATTGCTAAAGAAGCGGGGATTTAAATATCCCGCGCTTCGTTAGCATAATCTCGCCCTCGTGCTATTCCAATCACCAGCTGATTCGAACCAGGAAGTGCGCTCCGGGCCACATTAGTTCGACTCAAACCCCTTGGTTCGAACTAAAGTTACTCCTCAAACGAGTTTGAACCAAGGGGTTTGATTCGAACTAACGCATCCCGGAGCACACTTCCTGGTTTGAACCACCCCCCGTCGCCTCTCCAAAGCATCTGGCCCCCGACTGATTTTTCTGTGGGTCAGCAGCCCTCGACCTAAAAACGGTTCCCCAGCCCTGGTTTAAAGTCTTTTGAAGAAATAACGATGCCTAGAAGCTACCAATGACGCATGTTTTTCAATACCATATAGTGGGATGTAAGTGACTTGTCGCTTTCCCTGCCCCCACTTGCTGCCTCTATCAGAGCGAGGCAGCAATGAGGGCAGGCAGCAGTGGTGCTTGTGGGAGCTGGCTTAAGAGCCAGTTCTCCCCCAGCATCATCTCCATGGGAGCAGGGAAGGCAGAGACACAACAGGGGATTGAGTGCTAGCTGGGACAGCTAATTCCTGGCTCACGCCTGGTCTTCCCCTCCTCCTGCTGCACTTCAGCCTGTTAAATGTATTACGAGCCTAGTAGATAACCCAGCTGTGGCTCTGCAGTTTCCCTCTATCAACTAATTGACCAGTCAATTAGCTGATTAAATGCCATTAAACATCCCTACCATATAGATTGTGCTACAGCTGATGTGCCATTTAACCACTTTCAACCCAGTCTGACCAGTACCAACTGGGGCCATGTTCTCCTCCATTTTTAAAGAGTATGCAGTACAATAGGCCTCCCAACTTGAGTGTAACCCACATTATCTCTCTGGTGTAGCCTCCGTGGGCTAAACTAGTTGCCTGAATAATGTTTCAGCTGGTTATGGTGTAAGGGCAACAAAGTTAAAATTGCTGGTAACGCTTCTGTGGGAGTTTTCCATTCCTTTCAACTTTTCTTTAAGTTTAACCTTAACTTGGAATTTTTGACTTTCTAATGCAAGGTCCAGATCAAAAATGGCTTGTCCAGAGCGCACACAAATTCACCTAGAGTTAAGGCTCACATGTGGCAAATATCAAAAACACGCCTTGTTCTTGACAGATTCAGGAACAGAGGAGGATCCGGTTTCAGGCTCAGAATGAAATGCCAGTTTAAACCTTTACTTCCTCCTTGATAAGACAGGCTAGAAATCCATGGTGCTTCCAGAGTTCTAAAGATGTTTAGGTTAGTCAGACAGGCTGGGGCAGCAGTGACATCCCATAGCCAAGACTGGGACAGTAAGTACAGCAGGATTTTTAGCCCTCCCTTCACTAAGATCTTGCTGGGCAGCCCTGCACACTGTAGTTAACTGGTGATATGCTGCTGAAGCTCCACTGAAATCTATGGCACATACACACGCTTCAGCCCATGCTGTGTTGTTCAAAGAGACTTCAGTCCTTATCCGAATCAGAGCATTAAACTCTGCAACGCCACATCTCACCTCTAAAATGGAGGTAATGTTATTTGCCTGTCTGTCCAAGGTATCTAGATCCAAGCATCTCCCAACTCTAATGTAACCCTGGGCTGTCATGTACTAAGAAGTGCATGTGTTTAATCCTGTCCCTGATGGTTATATCCATTGCTTATGTGCATTTTTACTACACCACTTTTTAGGGCCAAGGCCTCATCGGGTAGAAATCAGTGTGGTTGCATTGCTGTCTCTGGAGTTACAGCAATTTACAGCAGCTACACACAGCACCTGCTTCTGGCCTGCTAAGGTTTGCACCTTTGCCATTAAGCCATCACCTGTTTTAAATTGAATTAGGAGGATGGGGTACAGCTGATGGGTAAGTGCCCTGATCGGTTTTGGATAACTGAACTAGACACATAGCCAGGCACTGTGTCTAGATAGTATAGTATGTGCCTTTATGTAGGTTTTCACACTCAGAATGGATGCTTTTTAAAAAGTCTC